TCGCCTCGTGATTTTTTTTAATGATTTAGTTTGTTTAGATGAAGCTTTTTATATACTCTCTAAATTTGAATTAGCGAAAATTTCACTGTTTGAATCAGCGAATAAAGTTTTCACTGCAAATCAGCGGTTACAGCTAATAAAATAGCGAAACACGAATCGGCGAACGTCGGTCATTTTCGTCGGAAGATAAATTTATTTTAAAATGGAGTATTCCACTGATTGAAATAGTTGTTAGTCGCTGATTCGCAGCTGCATACTTATAGCTTTTTCAATCAGCGACTATTCGCTGCCAATCAGCGGATTTTAGCTGATTCAAATTTAGAGAGTATAATAATAAAATTCTAATTAATTCAGGTAAATATAAATTAACATAATTTATTATTTTAATATAATAAATAAATAAAATCTATGTTCACATGTTTTCTGATATTTAGTATGTTTTTCTTTTTTATAAATTAAATTATTCTATTATCTATTATTGGCATTTTATTTATTGTTCCATTTATATATCATATATTTTTTTATTAAGAAAGTTTATTCTCAATTGATATTGAAAAAAATGTGTAATTTAGAAAACCTAACCTATAAATTCTATTCTTTGATATTAAAAAACAATAAAAATTACTGTTTTCGTTGAGTTTTTCACTTAGAAAACAATAAATAATAATTTTAATAGTAATTATTTTTAAAAAATGTCAAAATGCAATAATAAAAATATGCCCTGTTACATAGATAGGTTATATTTTATTTCTCTTTTTATTTTTTTAAATTAAAATGTTTGTATGCCTTAAATTTTTAAAATCTTTTTAAATAAAATATATAATTTTAATAATAGGTGGATTAATAGCTGAATTAAAAAAATTTTTAAATTATAAAATATTAAAATTAAGTTGTAAAAAATTAAAAATTAAATTTAAATTTTTAGAAAATTTAAAATATCTATTGTTTAATACAATAATGGTTTAATGAAATTTGTGCTGATTAAAATTGTTATTTCAAGTGTAAATTTATTTTTCAGTAAATTTTAAAAAATTAAAATTCTAAAATATGTATTTTGGCAGATAATAGTAAAAATATTTATATAAAGCATGCAGTTTCTAGCTACAGCACTGAACTAAAATATATCTGCTATATTTTTCGTTTGATGGATATCGTTAGTATAGCAGATTGCGTAGCGTGCGTACCTCGCGCCCAGCGGACCCGTGTTCGCTCCCCGTTACCCCCGAGATTTTTCGTTGAAATTGCGTTCTCTTCGTGTTTAAAAGTTGATAATAACAATTGTATAATAAATTACTAATACAAAAATATTTGTTTCAGTCGTCATTACAGTGCAATCAAAAAGTGGATGTTTCAGTGTACCAGAAAATATTTGTGATCCTTTTACACAAGTAAAATTTTTTTTTTAAATTAAAAATTAAACAGTATTGACAAATATTATGCTTTTAACAATTTACTATACATTATATTTTCTTCAAATAATTTAGATTATAATTTAAAAAAATTAATGTAATTATATAATTTATTATTGTATAATTAGTTTCTTGCATTAAATCTTAATATTAGACAAATTTTGAGAATATTTAAAAGAAATAATTTGTCTAGTTTTTCTAACGGACCGTTGATCAGAATTTATCAAGTTGGGCTAGACAATAACTAGACGAAAAAAGCGTGACATTCCATTCGAGTAATTAGCCAGTTGCAGTGTTAAGGTACTAGACAGATTCTAGCGCAACTGTCCAGTGCCACGATAAATACTGGGACAAATTTCTACTACGGTTAGAGCTGGATTTATTGTTAATTTCTTTTAATTAATTATAAAATAACTAATCTCTTATTAGTCTTATTAAATAAATTATAAATTAAATAAATTGTATTGGATAAATTAAATAAATTAATTTAATTAAATTATTCTCGTTAAAATTAATTTTCTTACAATATTATTTAATTTTTAACATTTAAAAAATTGTTAGAACTTTTAAAAAATATAATAAAGAAACAGAAAATTTGTTTAAAAATCCCTACTTGATATTTTATTTTTATTTTACCCGTTTTTTAATGCATTTTATGAAGGTGTCCATCTTGGGACCACTTTTTTTCAAATCAAAATTTACAACAATTTGAAAAAATTCATTAAAAAATGTTTGTTTTCAAATTAAAATTTTTTCTTTATGGCCAAAGGATACCTTATTTATTTTACTTTCATATGGTATGCACCATTTTTAAATATCCTAAAACGTTTGGATTCTAGAGCACAAAATCAAAACTATGTCCATCTTGGGGCCCTCTCCCCTAGTATATTATACTGTTTCATTGGAACTATTATAGATTAATAGACAAATTGAATGAAATTGATAGTAGAAAACTATTAATTAATTTATTAAAGTTTACTAATTCATTCAGTAAAGCTAATGGTATTCTTTTGAATATTTTTTTTCCCTTTTTGAGTCGTAAATAAGATTTTTTTATATACAGTTAAGTTCTCTGTCTTCCTCACTATCAAGACAATTCAGCATGTATATAGCTTTCAATCGTTTTTAAAGGTACCCATCATCTGATTAATCAGGAAAGCAGTAAGAAGAAGAATGAGAAATATCAAGTAAGAAAAAAACTAAAGAAGAGCATAATAAGAACTTCTGTCTACGTACAATACGAACAGGATTCTATACACGAAGAAGTTGAAAGTTGCTGAGAAGAGAGCAAGCACTTGTGAAGAAGCGATGAATCCGAGACGCAAAGAGGGATGGCACCTAAATAACTGCAAAATGTCTTGGCCGGACAGAAGAGCAAAAGTGGTCCGACATTATATGACGAGGGGAAAAACGAAAGAATGTCACGTGGAATTCGCGATCGACTTTTGCTGCTCTTGAAATAAGTCGGAACGCTTAGAACTTATAGTATTTTTGTAAATAAGAGGAAAGAACAATCTTTCTTTTTTTCTTCCTTTTCCTTTGATCAAACAAACCGAGTAGAAATCTACCTCTGGCATAGTACTGACCCAGTACTGCCAGCCAGTATTGACTGCAATACATTATGGTCACAAAAAATCTCCATAAGGAAGCAAAGTGTTCATGAAATGAACACAAAACATTCATACCTCAACTTGGCAGGGTTTTTTTTAATCATATATGAAGTATAATTAAATAAATCGACGCCTCCCGTTCATATAATGCTTATTGAAATAACAAAACAAGACGATGCTTATTTAGAATTGGGTGCAATATCATTCCTATCAAAATTACAGTGCAAGACAATGTCTATTCAAAATCGCGTGCAAAACAACTCCTACTGAAGGTAGCGAATAATATGATGCTTATTCAAATTTAAGTGTAAGATAATTCTTAATTAAAATTTTCTAAAAAAGTATTCTTATTTAATGTGGTTTCTAAGAAGAGGTTACTGGTGAACATGGGAGGTAAATATTTCTCAATATTTTATGTATGAAAGAAAGGTTAATTTTAGTGAGATTTTCAGAATTAAGTAAAAATACTCAAACAAAATGTATGTAAAATACTCATTGCTTAACTTGTTATTATATTCATTTAATTTTTGTTCCTTGTAGGGTCACGGTGGTTCAGGAATCCATATGAAAAAATTTGATCACCTTCCGACAAATCTACATTGAAAATGTTGAAAATAAAATTATTTTTTACAAACATCACATTATTGTTTTCATTACTGTCATTTTTTATGTAAATTAATTTGACTTATTAAATAACATGATAAATTATTTTTTTAAATAAAAATTATTTTAGACTTTTTCTGAATTAAATACAAAAAGTATAAATGAAAGTTGAAAATTTAAGTTTTTTTTTTAAAAAAACATATTTTGTCTGTCATTTGTCATTTTAACCACAAATAGTTTTCTTGTATAATTGTCCATTTGATATATTTGTTATGAATTGATTTGTAAAAATTATTTTAAAAAAATGTTTTCAAAAAAATGTTTGAACAAAAACAATTTAATTAAAAATATCGTTACAATAAAAATTGTATAATATTATTGTTTCTATTATTATTATCCACAAAATTATAGTCCACAAAAATATAAAATGAAAAAATGGAAATAAACAGAAATTAAAAAAATTAAATATAAATTACAAATAACAATATAGATTAAAAATTGAATATAATTGAGTTTTTTTGTCATTATTTTATTTATAAAATAAAAAAGTTATCTCAAATTAATATCAGAACTTGAAGTCATAGGTAAGTAATTGAACATTTATTTCCTCAATATTAATTAGTCAATTACTATGAATTTTTAATTATATTTTCAGTAAATAAAAATGAAAGATTAGATTTTATAACCAGTAGGTAACCTTCACAATGCTCAAATAGTTTCGTAATATTTTTTTTAGACATATCGGTCTTAATTCTTTTAATTTTGACTTCAGATTTATAATTATCAATAAAAAAACCTCACAACTGATAATAGTATGGAAAAAATTTATTTATGTAGTATTAAAAATTAAAAAACCTATTTCTAAAAAGGTTAAAAAATAAAAATTATAATAAAGTACGTCATAAAAAAGTAATTCATGGTTAATTTCTAAATCTTTTTTTATTTCTTTTTCAATATTATCAAAATTTTTAAGTTAACCTTACAGTTCTGCGCAGAAAATATTTTGCATTATTCATGTGTTCCCCAGTAATGTTCAAATAAGAATTGTATTGAATAAGAATACTTTTTTAGAAAATTTTAATTAAGAATTATCTTGCACTTAAATTTAAATAAGCATCATATTATTCGCTACCTTCAGAAGGAATTGTTTTGCACGCGATTTTGAATAGGCATTGTTTTGCACTGTAATTTTGATAGGAATGATATTGCACCCAATTCTAAATAAGCATCGTCTTGTTTTGTTATTTCAATAAGCATTATATAAACGGGAGGCGTCGAAATATTCTCATATTTCTTAATTTACGCTTATATTTTATTTAACATTGTTAATGAACGCTGTACATAAATATTTAAAACTAAGAATAATAAAATTAAAAAATTTTGTTTTCTATCTATTATTAGAACAATTTCAAAAGTTTGGAAATTTTTCATTAACTTTTTCCAAGATTCCACAAACTTTATTTTGTGCGCGTGCGCAGACATTGATTGTGGAATCTTGGAAAAAGTTAATGAAAGATTTCCAAACTTTGTGCTAATTTTTAAAATTACGTAATAATTACAGTTTAATTTATATTTTTACAAATTTGTGATCACTCATTACTGAACAACGAGAAACAATACTGTGAAGAGATCTCACTACGTTTGGTTGCAAATTTAAAGACCCAAATAAAAATTTTTTAAAACAAGTAGAATTATGTAGAATATAATTTTGCTCCTCAAATGACAACATAAGTGACCTAAATGACAATATAGTTACATTAACTTTTGAAGCTATGGTTCCAGTAACATGCACATCATCTATCCAAAAATAAGATTCGTTTTGAGCTTGACGATATAATAAAATCGCTGAATCAGGAGAGTAAAAAACAGCCCAGCCTGAGCAATATTTTGGATAATAACTTGCTGGATATTCTTTAAATGATACTCCCCATTTTGTACTATTGCCTCTTAATACTGGCATTCTTATTTGAGGATTACAAATTATAAAACTTCTAGTTACCAAAGGAGGCAAATAATTCAAGTAATCCAATACTGCAGCAATATTCACGAATACATCATCATCCAATTTTAGTATGTATTTGGCATCTAAAACATGATAGTAAGCCTAATTATAAATATTGTTATTATTTGTTTCATTTAATAAAGGGATAACTTTCATAAAAATCGACCCTTAAAAATAATGTAATTTAACTAAATTCTGGCTCGTTAACGTATCTAAATCTACGCCTATTTAGGTAATCTAAACTCATACATATTTTTAATTCTTCCAATTTAAAGTTGTTAATTAGGTTTTAAGATTTAATAATTTACTTACTAGAACAATAATATGTGAACCATTTTAGAGCCATGACGTGCTTGTAAGTCAAATTTCTATAAGAATCAACAAAATTTCCTTGAATTATGTCACCATATTTAAAATTTTCCGTTAAAATGTTTATTTGATCTTTTTCAGACCAGCCAACAAGAAAAACAGTAATTACAGATGATGATACTTGACCCCAGGTTTCGCGAATAGCATTCCTTTTTTCCAAATTTTTTGGAGCAGTATGAACCATTATTAATAGAAAAGGTTGAGTTTTTTTACACATATCATGATTTAAAATAAATGTAAAATTTTCCAAATCAATAAGTCTACCTTTATCGCCAATTAAAATTTCATTTATTTTAAATAACGGTTTAATTGAAATTTGATAAGTACTGATAAACCAGAAGAAAGCGCATCCCATAAAGGCGAGAGCGAATACAAAGGTAAAGTAACATCTAATAGGCAGCCCTCTCTTAATGATCATAATGATCAAAAAAACGTTTCACAATACTTATTCCAGCTATACACTAAAAACAAGGAAATATTTATAATTAATATCACACAGTTTTACCTTCTTTTTTCATTTTTTTTTAAATCTTATTTAAATAAGCTTAAGATATAAAGTATTTTTACAGTAAATTGTTATCATAATGAGATAAAAATTAAAAGAAGTGTTTTAAACTCTGAATACCTAAAAAATTAAATTCACTTCCAGCATCTTGTGTGTGAAACTATTATCAGTTATTAAATGGGACGCTTCAGCAAAAAAAAAAAAAAAAAAATATTAGCGAGACATTAGCATAATTATAAGTGATATTGTCATTTTGGTATATACAAACATAGAAGCGCAACAAACTTGCAGTAAACAAGGTTTTTTTTAAATATCGAAGTGGTTTCCGCAATGTATTTTTAAATGCTGCGAACACGATCCCGAATTCCAAAATTGCTTATCAAGGACCTCCCTGAAGTTGATTTCGACGCTCAGCGCCGAAAATTGTTTTTCGCAGAATCAAAAATTTCAAATTATTTTTTTTTAAACTTTTTAAATCCAAATAATATCTTGAAAAATACTTCTCAAGGCATTATGTGGACCCAAAATCTTCTTAAAAAATGTTTTGTTTTCAAGGCGCGCAAAATAAAAAAAAATATTTTGATATTTAAAAAAAAATTAGGTTAAAGGCACCAAAAAGGTTTATTGGTGTACGATTTAAGCTTTAATATAAGTATTTATAAAAGTCTCCAGCACGTCAGATTAATGCAAAAAAAACTGAAAACCTTCAAAAACATGGATTTTTGAGTATTTATATATACTGTCCTCAAAATCCTGAAGTGATACGCACTTTTGGAACCCGGGATCGTGTTCAGCACACAAAAACACATTGGAAACCACTCCGATATCTAAAAAAAAGTCTTATTTTGTAGACATGTGTAATTTAGGTTCATACAGCAATATTATATATTAATTATAGATTTTTTTAAATATATTGAAAAAAGTGAATGAATTGGAAGCTTTTTCCATTCATGTAAATGAATTTTAAGAACATTGAATGAAAATTAAGTTATAATAACTGAAAATTCATGCACGCGCATTCGTTAACGGCAATAACGCATGAATTTTCAGTTATTATAAATTAATTTTCATTAAATGTTCTTAAAATTCTTTTACATAAATGGAAAAAGCTTCCAATTCATTCCCTTTTTTAGCAGTGTAATAAAGCAACCCGAACTACATGATTTTTTCTGAAGTGAATTAAATATAATAGGTACATACACTTTATTTCACAATTTATCTGTAATTTTAAATAATGAAGAAATTTAAAAGACTTAAATTAAATCTTAATTTAATGAAAGAAATTAAATAAATTTAAGTCCATAAACTTAAATTAAAATAATTCATTTATAATTTATAAAAACTTACGATGTTTACAGCTGCTTTTCATTTAGTATTGCATTCAAGAGAGAGTTTACAACAAATAACTTAAATAAATATAATCGATTATATATTCGTTCAACTGTAAAAATATTATTGTTAGGTATCGTCACATTTTGATAAATTTTTGTTTAAACGCCATCGATAACAAAACTTTTTTTCAATTTATATTATCTCGTCATAGTGATGTGTTTCTCATATTTCCGTCTTTATTGTTTATAACTAATTTACGAACTGCATGCATTTTAAACAGGTTACATCCCTAAGATATTATCTAACAGACTGAGAAAACGATATTTTTGGTTCTAACATATTATATGTGACGCGTTATGAAAAAAGGGACCTTAGAAGCAAATGAATTATAGGTTATGTTTACGACAGTTTTACTCAAACTAAAATTTTATTTTTGTTTTTGTAAAAGTGAAATCAGTTTTTATTGAATATTTTGGATGTAATGAAAACCTAAATATCATTAGTTTGCATTACAAGTTAAACGTCTTTGTATAATTTCACTTTAAAATTTCAAAACGTAACCTATAATTTTTTGCTTCTAAGGTCCCTTTCTTCAGATCGTGTCACATATGTTTAAGGAGAGGTTCTCATTGCGGAGGTTTAAAAAATCCATTTTTTTTTTATTGCATTTTTTGAAAGCTATATATATGTGTAGAGTAGTAAAGTGAGTTTGCGGTCTTTAATCGCGAAAAAATATAATTGGTATTGGTATTGGTACCTAAAAATTATGTTACATAAAATATCGTTTACAAAGAAAGTCACTCAAATGCTAATTCGAAAAATAAAAAATTCGTTTAAAAAGAAATTCTGTCATATGAAATTCATGCAAATGAAAATTCTAGTTAATGATTTTTATGGGATATTCATGCCCTACATTTTTATTACATATTGAGTATTACATTTTACAAACATGTGTAATAAATAATAAATGAAAATGAAGAATACTGTTGTTAATTATATCGATTGGGATACGAACTTGCGCGCATTGTTTTTTTTGCAAGTAAACTATGTTTTTAAAAAAGGAAGAAACAAATATGTAATACATTTATAAACAGTTTATATTTATCAAGATAAAAATCAAGAAACGATTCTAATCATCAAAAAGACGATTCGAGGCATAAAGATCGATTTGATAAAAAAAACCTCGGAATGTCATGCATAATAAAAAAAGAAGAGGATACATTAACTTGATAATTTAAATTTTTGCTCTGAAATTCTCAAGCTATAATAGGGAGAAAAAAATTGCACCCGCTCTTCACTCAATGTAAGCCAGAGGAAGTACAATTTCAATATATAATTGAGCGAGAAAGAGAGAGATTACAAGAGAAGCGTTCGTGAAGAGTTTCATATTCTTGATCCCCTTTACAATCTATAAAGATACGGCGAGAATTATTATTGATCGTCTCATACAACATATGCTCTAAATTATGGTTTTTATATATACTTGCTTCTATTCCCTCAGGAACATGATTTCCATCATATATCCCCGGGAGTCAAAAAATCATCGTTTGCCCCAAGTTTAAATAGATTCATTAAAAATTTTATTCAATCATTTGAGAGGATAGATTTTTTTATTAATATTTTTTCATATTAAATACAACTAAAAACAAAGTGATATAAATATTTTTTAAAATTATTTTGTAATAAAAACATTTTTAGAATCTATATGAGTGCTTGTAGATACATATACATTAACTACACGGAGAAAAATGGGATTGTGGTGCAAACAATTTTTGGATTGTTGTCAGTAGATTTGTTGATATTACAATTCGGATTGTTGTCAATACAAATGTATGTTGTTTTAACAACAATACGAATTTTTTGTTGTCAGTTTTGTTCAGTTTGCAATTCCGTACAGTTGCAGAAGCAAACTCTCTATCGATTGCTGATGGAACAATCCGGATTTGTTCAGTTGACAGGTTTATTGTTCCATGTCACGTGGTCATCTTGAATTCTCGCAAACTGGCGTGCAGATCGTCGCGTCGTTTGCTTCTGCACATGTGCCACTTTTGCTTTTATTATTAGTTTTTTTTTAAATAACAAAGTGCTGTTAAATAATGAATCCGGTTAAAGTGAGAAATCTATTGCAAGTGTAGTGTATGGATGAAGAGACAATTTCATCGTTTATCGGTAAGTTATACTCGGTTACTATTGAACATAACGTCACCTTAAAAAATACAAAATGTATATTAAATATTATTTAACAACAAATTTGAACTCAAAATAATTTTTTTGGTTTCAAGTCAAAGAATTTGATTCAGAAGCTGCATATTCCAAAGATTTTAATGCACATGAAACTGGTGATATGACCTACGGAAATCTGCTATCAATTATTTTCAAAGGCGAAGAAAGTGAAAAAATTGTATTAGACGGATCAAAGCTTTGTTAATACAACAAATTGTATTGCCGATTTAACAATTTAGATTTGTTATTTCAACTGTTCCATAATAATTTTCTTTCTTCATTAAACAATTTTGTTTGTTCATCATACAATCCGAATAGTTTTAATAACAATCCCAATTTAACAATTTTTTTTGTTCCAAAAACAAATAGAACTGCTGCTTCTATATTGACAATCTGGAATTGTTGTGTGGACTTAATTTTTAGTAACCACAACAATTCTTTTTTCTCCGTGTATAGGAGAATAGATTGAAGTTTATATTGATTAAAAGTCTACATAACAATTCCATATTGTCAATATAGAACCAGCAGTTCTGTTTGTTTTTGGGACAAAAAAATTGTTAAAATAGGATTGTTATTAAAACTATTCAGATTGTTCGTTGAAAAAACAGAATTGTTTGATGAACAAAGAAAATTGTTATGGAACAGTTGAAATAACAAAACTAAATTGTTAAATCGGCAATACAATTTGTTGTATTAACAATGCTTTGATCCCTAATACAATTTCTTCAGTTATACTTCTCCTTCTAAAATAATCAATAGCAGATTTCCGTAGGTCATGTCACCAGTTTCATTTGCATTAAAATCTTTGGAACATGCAGCTTCTGAAACAAATTCTTTGACTTGAAACCAAAAAATTATTTTGAGTTGAAATTTGTTGTTAAATAATATTTAATATAAATTTTGTATTTTTTAAGATGAGGTTATGTACAATAGTAACCGAGTATAACTTACCGATAAACGATGAAATTGTCTCTTCATCCATTCATTGCACTTGCAATAGATTTCTCACTTTAACCGGATTCATTATTTAACAGCACTTTGTTATTTAAAAAAAAAAACTAATAATAAAAGCAAAAGTGGCACATGTGCAGAAGCAAACGACGCGACGATCTGCACGCCAGTTTGCGAGAATTCAAGATGACCACGTGACATGGAACAATAAACCTGTCAGCTGAACAAATCCGGATTGTTCCATCAGCAATCGACAGAGAGTTTGCTTCTGCAGCTGTACGGAATTGCAAACTGAACAAAACTGACAACAAAATATTTGTATTGTTGTTAAAACAACATACATTTGTATTGAAAACAATCCGAATTGTAATATTTACATTTCGAATTGTAATATCAACAAATCTACTAAAAACAATCCAAAAATTGTTTGTACCACAATCCCATTTTTCTCCGTGTTGTTCAGACTTCTTGTCCGATTCCTCCTTAAGGTCACCGTGGCAATTGAAAAGCGAAAACATTCGCACTTTTTGAGAATGAAACTACATGTATAATTTCTATCTTTCAAGTGTAAAATTTAGTCTCATTTTTTATAGGCTATCACAAAAAAGCAATTTCATTTAGTACTTATGAGAGTTTCGTGCTTAAGTGTTATTTAATTCGAATTTACCTGAGAAACTCTAAATTTCCCGTGACATTGTGTATAAATATATGAAAAAGCGAAAGTCGTCACGCAGGGCGCATACATAAGAGGTAAAAATGCAGAATCCTGCGTGCACGTTGTCCTCATCTACTTCGATATATATCTATATGGGTGATTCTACGATAAGAGTGTATATATCAATACGTCAGATTTGTGGCAAAACAAAATTTTCATAATTAATGGAAGGCTCTCATTGTGGGGGTGCAAAAAGTAGATTTTTTTATTCCATTTTTTGAAAGTGTAGAATACTATATTGTTAATTTAATTTTTGTTTGTTTATTGTTGTTATTGTATTAATATATAACAATATATATGTTACTTACTAATTTGTAAAACTTATTAATTTATAATGTAAGATTTTTTGTAGGCCCATCAAAGATATCTCTTATCGTAGAATTACCCATATTTTATATATATATATATATATATATATTATGTGTTCTTCAAGGAGTCGTTAAATATTATGCGACGGATTAAAACGTAATAAAAATCTTGCTAAAAATGTCGATCGATAAATCAAGGAGGGCGCACTATATCGTTAAACTTCAGAGGCAAATTTTCTTGCTGATGCGCATACATCGAATAAAACCATTGGCTCCCTCAAGGGATTTTATAGGGTGGTGGGAGCTCAGGGGCGTAACAACAGTGGTCTCGCATTAATCTCACACCAAAAATGCTCCTGAAACTTGCAATATATATATATTTTTTCTTTTTATTTTCAAGCACAGTACGCCTTTGTGAAAATCACCCACAGCGTCTCAACATTCCCACACGTATATAAGTGAACGCTTCCTCAGCTTTTGCTGTGCACCGCGGTTCATTTTATATATATATATATATATATATATATAAAATTCTCCTCGTTTCTTTCTTTTCCTTCACTTCCTTAAGGGCATCTACCACTTGTGACGTCACAAATTACCGATCAATATTGTAATATTTCTCAGTCTTTATGTTTTTTCATAACAATAATGACAAAAGACATATTTCAAATAAAAGTTTACAAATTATATTTTAACAAATAAATATTTTAGGTATATGAATATATAATAAAAATTATTTCATTTAATCTGGTATGAAAAGCTGATTCTAAGATCATTTACTTTTGAAATCATTGGCAACATTGATTTTTATAAAAATTAATAATTAAATCTCATTAAACTCATTTTGAGCTCCGATTTTTTCTGTAAGATTATTTATTAATTATATTTATTGATACAAATATAATTTTTTTCTATTTAACAATACTATTCAGAATTTAATATTTTAAGGTGATTCTAAATGAAACTAAATCATGGAAATAAATTTAAGAGAATTAACTCATTCTTATTCTAAAGGGCATACTGAATGATTGTAAATTTATAAAACTATAATCAGAAATTGATCGTGAATTGAAATTTTTTACATATATGTTCCTCTGTTCCTCAAAACAATTCTAAAATAAATCTTAAAAAGAAATTTGATTTGATCTTGTAATAATATTGTAGTTCCATATAGGTCTTTAGATCTAGAAAGAAATTCGTAAAATCGATTCAGAAAAACATTTTTATCATCAATCCAGAAAGAGATTCTGCAGCTAATACAAAATAAAATTTGTAACATTGATCTTTAAAGGAAATTTCGGCATTGATGATACAAGAGTTCTGAATTGTATTCAAACAAATATTGTGAAATTAATTCTGAAACTGATCTTAATATTAATTTCCAGGAGCATCATATAGAGAAATTCTAAAATTTTTATTTAAAAGGATTTTTGGTTGAATGCTGAAAAGGAAGATAGAAATTCATCTCCAAAGAAATTATATTTCTTATGAAATAAGCTTCATTAATCATTTTAAAATTGGATTCGAAATTAATAAATGTTTAAATGCAATTATAGATATTTAATTTAAGAGTGATAATTAATAATATTAATTAATATAGAAGAAGTATTAATAAATTAATATTTCTTTTAGAAAGATTCCAAGCATAATTCTCAAATTTCAGAATATAGTACAAATGCTCTTGAATATTTCGCATAGCTTTAAAATATTATGTGTGCATTTAAATTAAATCTTGAGCAGCGGAGTTCCTTCGTGTGTATGCAGATTAGAGAGTAAACTGTATTCTTAGTCAACAATACAAGATATAAACTAAGCAAGACGAAGGGAGGAGAATAGGTCTTTAATGTTACGTTATTTACTGAAGTATATATATATACATATAGTAGGGTAAAACGCAACGGTATAATGAAAATATACGGTAAAGAGCCCGTTTTCTCACACAACGGTTTCGATATCATATAGATGCACTACAAATTTACGAACATGATTATTAAATAACTGGAATTAACCCTTGTAATTTATCAAATTAGCCTTAGAGGATCAACTACTCACGTTACCATTTTATGGCGCAAGATGAGGAGTTACCAGACTAATATGGAAAATCGTGATGTCATATAACGGATTTTTGCTTTGTTTTCGTCCATTCTAAGGTTCTTTATTATGATAATAATAAACAACAAAATTTGTTCGCTTTTTAAATATAAAAAAAATTAAACATAAAAAGGTTAAGAATGAACAAATAAAATCGTAAAATTTAGCACTAATTTAAATATCATTTTAAAATATTAAGTTGTAGTTTATTTAAAATATTTTAAATAAATAAATGCCTTTGTTTGATGAATCTTATTAAATTTAAATACATAAGTTTTTAACAATTAAAACTAAAATTATTAATTAAAACTATTATCAAATATCAGCTCCATTAAGCATTAAATTTGATGCTCTGGCGTATTAAACAAGTAGATTATTAGATTATTATTAGATTATTTATTAGATTAATTTACTCGTTCAATACGCCTGAGCATCACATTTAATGCTTCTGGTTGGCTCTCGGTGTAGCCTGACTTTTAGTCCTCTAAATTTTCAATTAATATAATTTTCATTAAAAAGAATACTAAAATTTAATTGAATTTTCATTTGTCAGATTTCTCATATAATAGAAGTAAACAGTTAAATGAAAATTCTAACTTATTACATCCAGGAGACTAAAAAAATAAATTACTTTAAATAATATAATATATAGAATAATTAAAAAGTTTTCTAGAGCATTAATTGTAATTGTGTGGCATTTTTATTTTTTATTATATGGATTTTACGTTTTTACGATGCGCACAGGCGGTTGACCTCGACTCTGATTTTTCGATGTCAAGAACTGTAGCGCGCTTTATGAGATTGTATACGGGGAATTATTTCTCAAACATTAAAAGTTGTTATATATTGACTTGATACTTTGGTAAATTATTGTTCGCAAAGTAAAAAAAAATCCTTAAAATATTAGTTAGATAGTAGTAAGAAATTGTTTTTTATGAATTTTTAATTTTTTAATATAGTTTTTGAAGGACTTTTCATGTACTTTTCAATGTTAAAAAAATTCTCTTTTTTTAAATTTTCAATCCCTTTTTTCTTAAAATTAATTTCAGGTTGTGTCACTATGTTCGTAAAAAAATATTTCACTTGCCAATCGCGGATTTCCTTGACGGAGCGATGGCAGCATCGCCTCTTTTGGACCAGTCTCCCAGTGGCCCCTCTTCTATGTGGGGAGATCGGAGAACTATGCAGGGGCCATGCTTTCTCTGCAACCTCCTTCCTGTCCTTCAGTCTGAAAAATTTAAAAGAAAAAATTATTTTTAAATTAGAAAAAAATAATTTTAAAGTCACACTAAAAGGTCAGTTAAAAAATTCTATGAACCGTGGACACCCTTCGCCAATGCCCGATCTCCATCCCGGAGCAAAAAAAAAACTCACTCGCGATTTTAAAAATTTCGAGCACTTCCGAACCACGTGTTAACTATCAAAGAATCAAATTTTTTCAATTTCTACATATACGATCGCGGTTTTAAATATTACGAACACTCCCGATATTTAAAATTTTTTTTTTCAATTCACAGAAATGTAAATTAAAATAATTAAAATCCCAATACATATCACTCGATTGTGGGTTTAACAAAATATATGAGCACTCCCAAAAGCTAAAAATTTACTTGTAAAAATTAAAATTTTGTAATTATTAACCATTATTATTATTAACATTTTGTAATTAATCACAAACACGTGGTCTTTAGGCCGAACGCGACCCACCCCTGAAAAGTTGATACAGGATAAAATGAATTTAAAACAACGTGGTCTTATGAAAATTAGACGCGCTAGTATAATTTTAAATTTTGCATCAATAGCAATCACGTAAAGACAAAGATGGTAGAAACGCATCTTTATTATATTCTCACCCACTCTTTTATTTTTTCTCTACATTTTCAGTTTAAATATTATAATATTTATCTTATAGATATATATATATATACTAGGGGGCTAAGCCCCCTGCGCGCTTCGCGCGCCAACCCCCACCCCCTCCTCTCTTCCCCTCCTTGTCCCCTCCCCCCACCCCAAATTTAAAGGTTAAGATCGTTTCAAGACTCTGAATATAGCCGTAAGTCCCCCCTCCCTTTTCTTCTACCCCCCTTCTCTTGACTTGTGGCTATATTCAGAGTCGTGGAACAGCGGCGGCAGTGGCTTCGCGCCCCAACCCTCATCCCGCCTCCTCTCTTCCCCTCCTTTTCCCCTCCCTCACCCTAAATTTAAAGGTTAAGATCGTTTCAAGACTCTGAATATAGCCGCAGTTCCCCCCCCCCCCTTCTCTTGACTTGCGGCTATATTCAGAGTCTTGGAACAGCGGCGGTGGCGGCGATATCTTTTTGTAATATAGGTAGATATATATATATATATATATATATATATATATATATATGTATATAAATATAAAATTCTTTAAAAAAATACTTTTTCTATTTTGAAATGTATTATAAATATAAATAAAATACAAATATGCAAACATTTTATCCTCACCATTTAAAACATAAAGTCGAGGGGCTGTTTACTGAAAATCCAATTAAAAAATATTTAAGAATTCATTAAAGATTTATAAGGATTGCTACATTGAGAGAAATGGATAGTAAGAATTTGATAGTAAAAAGAAAGATTGTACAAGGTACTATCATTGTGTTACTGACAAGAATCTACTATCAACATTTTACTATCCAAGATGTTACCCAAAGACGTAAAATATGTTAGCTTTTGGATTGTAGTCACTACTATCAAATATTGTAAAAATTAAATGTGAGCGCATGCGCTGATTGTGGTGTATACTTCGCCTATTCAATTGCGTTCCTTGTGTTTTCACGCACGTGTTTATATATAGTGAAAAAAGTTGTGAATAAAAAAATGGACGAGTTTGTTAAAAATTTATTAATGTCGTGGAATATGGAATCTTTGATTCCATCTTTTGGAGGTAGATTTATTATTTTGATTGAATTAGCGAAGACTGAAGTGTGAACGTGTTTATAACCTCAAAACAATTTTGCGTTGTTTAGACGGTGAAATTGATGAAGAATCGTTTTACTTACTGGACAATGATACAATATCACTCATTATACCAAAACCAGAACCTCGCTTAAAATTTTTTAAAAAATTTCAAGATTACAAAAATCAAGTAAGTTTTTTTTCGTTTATATAAATGTACATGTGTTTATTGAAATTTTTTTTTGGAAAAAAAACTTTTTCATATTTTTTCTTACTTTTTTTTAACTTAAAAATTAGTAAAATAATACAAATTCAATTGACTCTGTGAAAAAAATATACCGTTTGATAAATATATTTATGTTTAAGCAAATCCTTTTTATAGACGGAGTGAAAAAATAAACATACTCTTTTTTATGTAAAAAGTTTAAAGTTTAAATTCTTATCGAAATGTCTTATTAAAATAAAATGAAATTATTTAAGTTTACAAAAAAAGCGAGGTTAGGTTCGTGTATATTTGCCACTCGAGAACGTAAAGAGATCGTATAAAATTTTTAACATCAAAGATTGTAAATTGTACAATCAAATTTCTATAATAATCTGATAGTAAATACTACAATATATATCGCTGTCTGTATATTTAGCACTAAATATGGTTGCCCTGAACATCATTATGTTACCCAGTAGCATAAATTTCTCTCCGTGTAGTCATTTTCGTAATTCTTATTTTGAAATTAAGGGAAATAGTGCTTTCATTTTATTTGATGTAATTGAGAGTTACTTGCAAGAACAATAGATTAATTGTATAATTCGCTGCCGAATTCGCTCGTATGTCTCCGTAATCATTCGTGACTCGCAACAATTCTTACTGCATGACTTAGGATTTTACTGGAATCGACGAGATTCGTTCGGATTCGCATAGTATTCGACAAATTCGAACGTACTTTTCTTGGAGCGTCACATATTCAGAATCAAGAAATTAACATTTTCTTATGTTAATTGATGAATATTCGGAAGATACCTAGTATATTCTCTACATTACAAATCGGGTATTCGAGAGTGAACGCAGCTCCTCGCATAAAGTTGAAAAGCGATTCTAAGAGTGAGAGAGACAAAGGAAATGAGTGTGTCTAATTTTCGTGTGACCACGTGATTTTAAAATCAACGCAATTTGAATTAAATAAACTTTGAATAATAACCCAGATGGAAAAGTTTCCGGTAGTGGCTACCGGTAATAACTACCGGTACTAGTAGACTAGTAGGGGAGACCGAGGAGGAAAGTAACAGAGGAGGAAAGTAACAAAGCTTATAACTTTTAAACAAATTATCGGATAGACATGGTTCAAACATATTTTTAGTCGGCACTGTTCCCCCTTCCTCCTCCATAGTGTGTCCGAGCCTGACAGGAAAGGTTAGGTCTGATTCCGGTGTGACGTGCAGAAAAAACGTCAAAAGTAAGTTTTCGTTGAAATTTTCAAAGTCTCGTATTTCTTTAATTTTATTGTTTTTCAAAATGTGCCTTTCGTTATTTTTTAGCCTTATTATCTGTCTTTAAGTTGTGCTTAAACAAACAATTTAACATTTGTGTAGTTTTAACTTTTTTGTTGACATACAAGAAAAAAGCGACCGAGGAGGAAAGTAACACGCTACTTTTCTCCTGTTGTCGATATTGTCCATGTTTTAACTAATGATTGAAGCAAATCGTATTTAATTTTACGAATAACAGAGATTTATTTAAGAAAAACCTGTGATCTAGGTAAGCATAAAATATCTTTAAGAAAAAAAATGAGCTAAATTCATAAAATGTTCGAAATATGTGCCAAATAAGTATAAAGTGTACTTAAACTTTTATGTGTTCCTAATAAAAATATTTCTAATTAATAATAGTCATTAGTCTAAAGAATTTTACATAATTTTATACTATTACTTTCCTCCTAGGAGCTTGTTACTTTCCTCCTCGGGGGTGAGGAGGAAAGTAACAGATGAAGAGCTTGCGTAAAAGTTATACTGTGAACTGTCAATTTATTATAAATGTTTAATTCAAATTTTATTTAAAAGGTGAATGTCCAAGCTTTCATTTAATATATTGGACAAATTTATCCGACAAATATTTTTAATGCTAGCATAAAAAAACTGATTTTTGTTACTTTCCTCCTCGGTCTCCCCTAGTGCCACTACCGGTAGTCATACTGCCGGGAACTTTTCCACCTGGGAATGCATCATCAAAAATTAATTACGTTACAATAACTTTTTCTACTATATAAGCTTATTTATATTATTACTATTGTCTTCACATTTTCTTTTAAAAAAATTATTTGTTTTATTAAAAAGAGAATTTTTCATTTCAATATACTATCGACATAATCTAATTTATTTTTTCAAGGTTGTCTTGATTTTCGAGTTTATTTACATTTTATATTTATTTCGTTTATGGATAGGACTGTAAAATCACATGTAATGCAAAGTTGTCAAATTTTCGAGTACTATATAAAGTAGAAAAAAATTCTGAAAGAGTTTTTTAAAGGAATTTTAAATAGGAGAATATACTCAGGGTTGGACACTTCGCTTTTCTTAAAATAAGAACACTAGCGCCGTCTATGCACGAACTGGCGAAGCTTCTCGTAGTGAAACCTAACTTCTTGTGCCATTACATTTTTGAAGGATCAAAAGTAGCGTCTGCTGTGACGTCGGTGCATTTGTAGGAACGAAAATAGTTTTTTGAGCAATGTGATTAAACATAAAAAATAAATAAAGAAAACAAGAAATCGGCAAGGTAAATATATTGTATGTATTGTGAGGTTCATAATTGAAGAAAAAATAAAGTGTAAAATTGAATCGCGAAACATGTCTGGTTATGGTTAGCACAATTCGAAAATGTTACTTTTACTTAGGGTTGGACACTTTTTTTAATTATGAATTTGACACAATTTATAAAAAAATATACAAATAAACATTGACACACACACAACATATATTCTACCAAAGATAAAAAATAATAATAATGGTAAACATGAAACTAAAAATCGTTTTCAGTACCGTTATAAATAATATTAATTGTCAATTATAAATAATAATAATGTAAAAGTGAAAAAATAAACATAAAAAACGTTTACAGTAACGTTATAAATGTTATTTTATTTTTTTACCCATAATTCGCATCAATTTTCACAAAGTGTTCAACCCTGACATCTTTCTAACAATATAACTTAATTGACTAAATTAATTTTTTTAAAAAAGATTATAAACAAAGTCCAAAACGGTGTCCAACCCCGAGTATATTCCCCTATTTTTCAATGTTAAAAAATGTTT